CCAGTCCCTCCTCGTTGGCGCCCCCGACCTGTGGAGCGCCCCATGCAGACAAGCAGCGCTACCCTCTCCTCCGACGGCGCAGCTTTTTCATGACGTGGGTCCCCAGGGATCTCGACCTCTTCTCGAGGACCCGCACTCAATCCTGAGTCGTTGTCTGACGGTCCTGGGGCTGGGAGACGGCCTCCTGAGCCCGAGCATGTCGACAAACTGGCAGGGGCGCGTTTCTTTGCGCCGCCTTTTTTTTGCTGTGATGGAGCTCTCACTCTGGAAAATAATGATAGTTGATCCCTCCCCCCCACCAGTGCACAGTGTGCTTTTTCAGTGGAAGGGCCCACCATCGGGGCTCGCACCCTGTTTTTGTCAGGGAAAATCTTTCTGCTCAAACTGTGTTGATGCCCCCCAGGCTACAACAAACAACGGATCCCGTTTGAGACTTCCTCACAATGTATTCCCAAATCGCGCTCTCGCGCGGGATTTACTCACAATTTATTCAAAAATCGTGCTCTCGCGTGGGATTTCCTCGCGATTTATTCAACTGCCGCGCCCTCGACACTCACGAATCACGCTCTCGCTTGGGCCTTTCTTGAGATTTACTTGGAACTCGCCCTTTGTTCGAATCGTCCTCGCGATTCGTGCAAGACTCACGCTTCAGCAACCCGCCTGCTCGACTTGGCCGCCTGGGCCCGCCTTCCCAGCCCCGCCCCCTAGGGTCTGCCGCCCGATCTGCCCGTCTGGTTCTGCCTGAAGGGCCCCCCCCATCATCGACAACGCTCCTGCTCGATACTTTCGGGAGCGGCCAAGAAGGGGGTGTCCAAGAGGGGGGGGTGCAAATCATGACCGGCGGCATGTGCGCGGCCCAGCGGGGGGGCCAGGGACGTAATGAAAAAAGAAGAGGCGCCATGAAATCTGGGGAAATATCATGGCCCCCGCCATGATATCCCCCCCCATAGTCATCACCCCCCTCTTTTCCGCCCCCGATACTTCCTTCTTCTTTTTTGTTCCGCGGGACCGGGGCTCTCGCTCGCCGCCGACATCCAGCTCTCCAGCAAAAAAGCGGCGCTCCCGCTCCATCCTTCCATGCTCTCTAGTAAGGACCGGAGCTCCCGCCTCGGCGCCGCAAGCGGTCCCCCTGCAAGCAACGACGCTCCCGCCCGTTCGATGCTTCCTCCGCTTTGATTCAAGACTCCCTGAGGTTTCCTTAGTCTGATCATTCTCTTAGGGTGGAGGGCTCTGGGTGAAATCCATGTGGGCTGTGGTACCTCGAAAATCAATCCGTCTTGTGATTCACCTGTTGCAAATTCAAGCCTCGAAAGTCCATCGAAACGGCATTTCAAATTTCACCCTCTGCCCTCCACCCAGAGAAAATGCTCGGTTAGTCCTTGCTTAACTTCCATTTTTTCCCAACTGTTATTGCTAGACATTCTACATCCGCCCTGGCGCTCTCGCAACGGCGCCCGCTCCCTGTCAAAATTAAGCTCACGCTCAAACGCTTCGGGGTTGCGCCGGAATGGGCGCCCCAATAACAATAACAACAACAATAACAACAACAACCACAACCACAACCACAACAACACTACCAACACCACCACAACCACCAACACCACCACCAACAATAATAACCAACAACGACAATGACAACGACAACGCTCTTGCTCGATGCTTCCTCCCTTCATGCTAAGACCGGTACCGAAAGCCGGCTTTCCAGCAACACCGGCTCTCCCGCTCGATACTTCGTTGCTTCTAACTCAGGACCGGCGCTCCCGCCTCGGCGCCGCAGACGGTCCCCCCCTGCAAACAGTGACGCCCCCACTCGGATACAGCCTCAGCTGTTGTTCAAGATTTCCATTCTCTCATTCTTGAAAAATCACTATTGTTGTGCCCTTTCCACCGGCTTCACATTGTGTTTTTCAATCTAGGTGCCCCCTCGGGGCTCGCACTTTGTTATTGTCAAGGAAATCTTTCTGCTCAAATTGTGTTGATGCCCCCAGGCTGCAACAACAACGGCTCCCGCTTGAGACTTCCTCACGATGTATTTGAAAATCGCGCTCTCGTGCCGGATTTTCTTAAAATTTGCGCAAGAATCGCGCTCTCGCGTGGGATTCCCTCGCACTTTATTCAGACGTCGCGCCCTCGACACTCAGGAATCACGCTGTCGATTTGGCCTTTCTCAAGATTTACTTGCGAATCGCGCTATCGCTCGAATCTTTTTCGAGATTCATGCAGGACTCACGCTTCAACAACCCGCCTGCTCCGACCTGGCGCCTGGGCCCACATTAAACCCGCCCGCTAGGGTTTGCCCTCTACATCCTTCTCCCTCTCCCTTCCATCCGTGCTCTCCTCCCCGGTTTTAGGGGCTGCACTGAGTGCGCGTGGCAGGTAAGGATGGTATACCCACGTGGGGTGCGATCGACGACGAAGAGGGTGGGTACCGAGGGTTTGGGATATACGTGTTGAATGGCACACGAGCGCGTAGGAGCGAACAACCTTAATCTGATTGTTGTGGTTGTGGTTGTGGATGTGGTCGTGGTTGTGGTTGTTGTTTTTGCTGCTGCTGAGGCTGTTATTATTGCATTTTCATGTCTCACGAATAATGACTCTTGATCCCCCTGCTCCGATAACCGCTTTTCAATAAAATACTTCTTCCGGGGTTCGCAGGGCTCGCACCTAGCTTTTTACAAAGGAAAGCGAGGGGTCACCAAACTGCGTTGTAGGGCCCCGGTTTGCAACAACAGCGGCTCCCGGCTGATCTTCCTCACAACTTATTCCCAAATCGTGCTCTCGCGTGGGACCTCCTCACACTTGATGCAGGAATCGCGCTCTCGCGTGGGAATTTCCGACGATTTATTCAAACGCCGCGCCTTCGACACTCAGGAATCGCGCTCTTGCTTCGGCTTTCCTAATGATTCATCTGGGAATCGCGCTATCGCTCGAGACTTCCACCTGCTCGACCTGACCGCCTGGGCCCGCCTTCCCGACCCGCCCGTCAGGGTCCACCCGTCCGATCTGCCCTTGAGGTTCTGCAACGTGTTTTCTGCTCCTAGCCCCCCTCCTGCTAATCTCTCTCGTGCTCCATCCAGCTCCCTCCCCCCTTGTCCCTTCCTTCCATCTGTCCTCTCTTCCCTGCCGTAGGTGCTGCACGAATTACAGGTTGCAGGTAAGAAGGGTGTATACCCCCAAGGAGGTACGATCGAAGACGAAGAGGGCGGGTATCGAGGGTTTGGGATATACGTGCTGAATGGCCCGCAAGCAGATGAGAGCGAACAGTCTTAACATGATTGTTGTTGTTGCTGTTGCTGTTGTTGTGGTGATTTATGCTATATTTGTTGTAATGGTTGTCATTATTGTTGTTGTTGTGGTTGGTTATTGTTGTTCTCGTTGTTGCTGTTCTTGCTGTTGTTGTAGTGGTTGTGGATGTGCTTGTGGTTATTGTTGTAGTTGTTGTTTTTGTTGGTATCGTTGTTGTTGCTGTTGCTGTTGCAGTTGTTGTAGTTGTTGTTTGAGCGGAGGGCTACACATGATAGAGGCCTCCCAAGCAAGATCCGAATATATTGTGTCGGAAGATCACGGCGCATCACCCATGTATTGCCGATGTACCGGCGACATCGGCGGTGCATCGCCGATGCGGCGTGCGATCCTCCGACGCCATCGACTCGGACCCTATTTGGGAGGTTGGGAGTGGTGCGCAGCCGCGCCGGGAGAGCACGCGCGCGCGCCGTGCGTGCCAGGCCTGCGCGGGCTTGGGGCTGGTATGGCGTGGCAGCGGCGGGCGGGAGGCAAGGCGCCACAGCTCATCCTCCGATCCCCTGAGTGAGCATCTTTTCTCCAATGCCTGCCCCCACTGGCGTGGCCTCAGCCCCACTTCGCGATTTAACCCCTTAGATGGGGATATGTGCTGCTCCCTTCGGGTTTCGCGTGGCCTATCGCCAACTGGGGTGGGTGGGATGGTGGAGCTGAGATGCCATGACCCAATGGGGATGGGGATCGGTTGGACGATACTGACTGAGATCCGACGTTGCGCCCTACAACGCAACATTGCAGGACATCACGAGCGGAACCCCAGCCCTCAACTTTCTGGCTCACCCTGCGAGCCAGGGCGACCTGTCAAGGCCCCGGGGCCCGAAACTGGGCGACACCGTCCGGCTCGAAAGAGTTGAGACGCCAAGCTCTGTCTGTGCCGCACGTGGCGGCGCACGCCGCTGGCGCAGGCTGGCCGCTGGGGCACCAGGCTGCCCCCCCCCCCCGCCGCCCGCCCCATGGAAGGAGGAGGGCCCGCTCCCCCTAAGGGAGGAGGAGGAAGAAGAGGAGGATGAGGAGGAGGAAAAGGAGGAGGAGAAGGAGGAGGAGGAGAAGGAGGATGAGCAGGAGGAAAAGTGGGAGGAGGAGGAGGAGGAGGAGGAGGAGGAGGAAGAGGAGGAGGAGGGAGGAGGAGGATGAGGAGGAGGATGAGGAGGAGGAAAAGTGGAGGAGGAGGAGGAGGAGGTAGGTAAGTAGTAGTAGTAGTAGTAGTAGTAGTAGTAGTAGTAGTAGTGTAGTAGTAGTAGTAGTAGTAGTAGTAGTAGTAGTAGTAGTAGTAGTAGTAGTAGTAGTAGTAGTAGTAGTAGTAGTAGTAGTAGTAGTAGTAGTAGTAGTAGTAGTAGTAGTAGTAGTAGTAGTAGTAGTAGTAGTAGTAGTAGTAGTAGTAGTAGTAGTAGTAGTGTAGTAGTAGTAGTAGTAGTAGTAGTAGTAGTAGTAGTAGTAGTATAGTAGTAGTAGTAGTAGTAGTAGTAGTAGGAGGAGGAGGAGGAGGAGGAGGAGGAGGAGGAGGAGGAGGAGGAGGAGGAGGAGGAAGAGGAGGAGGAGGAGGAGGAGGAGGGGGGGGGGCACAGCCGGGTCTGTGCCGCACGGGCTCCTGGAGGGCATGCCGTGGGCGGCAGGGCGCGGCGTGCGCGCAGCACCGCGCCGCGCGCTACTTCAGCACGGAAGCGGGCTCGCGTGCGCGCGCCGCCTGCCGAGGCGCGCGCACGTGCCCGCCGCCGACGCAGAAGGCCCCGACGTCGGGGACCTCGGACGGCAGCAGGAGCAACCCGGCGGCCTCTCTCGGGGGGGGCGGGAGGACACACGGCGAGCTCGGGCCGAGTCGACCACGGCGTGGGTTCCTGACCCCGCGGGGATCGTTCCACCTCGAACGATCGGCCGTTTCTGAGACGTCAGATCGTTCAACATCGACCGATTTGGAGTCGCCCGCGGCGTGACTCCCATAAAAAGCATCCGGGCAACCAATGGAACCAAGTGGCATTTATTTGCCCCGGCGCTCTTCCCTAGATGAAAACATACTGAGAACATAGAGGGCCGCAAAACATCACGAGATACCACGGGACACCACGGAAAACCGTTATCGATTTAACTATCGATCTCCCGCTATCTGTCGATCTCACTACCTATCTACTTCACCGTCGATGCCACTTTCGATCTCACTACAGGTTCCTCAATATATCTCACTTTCGATCTCACTATCTACCGATATCGCAGTCGCAATCGACTTCAATTCCAACTTATCTACCGACCACATTATGGATCTCGCTATTGATTTGTCTATCGATCTCAATATCGATCTCCATCAACCTATCGGTTTCACGGTGGACAGAACGCGTTTCGGGGACGCTTGCCTTGGACGAAAACATTGGAACGCGTGGAGCCGTCCCCCCTCAACAAAAAAATATTGAGCATGCACTGAACACCGCCCCCCCCCGCTCCCCGGACGTCGGTGTTCCTGATGGGGCCCCGCCCCCCCCTCTTCCAAGGGGAGGCGAAGGTTCGAACCGGCCTTCCCGGGACTTCCCCCCCAGCATTGTCCAGGGGGGGAGGTTCGAACCGGGGGCGGGGGCCCCTCCCCTCTAAGTTGCGGCGGGGGTGCGAGGGGGTGGGTTCGAACCAGGGGGCACCCCCCCTTCGTGCAAGGGGGGGGGGGCGGGTGCGAACCGCCCCCCTCTCCTCGTAATTTACTTCCACGAAGTCTGGCTCCCACTCTGATCGATTCCCGCTACATCTGGATCCAGCTCGACTTGAATCCTACTATATTTAGATCCAGCTCTGATTAAATGCGGCTAAGGCTCGGTCCAGCTCTAATAGAATCTGGCTGTAGATGGATCAGATTTTACTACCATCCTGATCGGGCTCGATCCGAATCCACTAGGATCCTACTAAAGCCAGATCCAGCCCACTTGAATCTTACTGGAGCTCGATGCTCGATCCAACTCAAGCTGAATCTTACTTTAGATTGATCCATCTTAAACAGCGCCCTGATCTGGTCCGGTTCATCTGGGAAGTAATCGTACTATAGCTCGATCCATGTCTCATAGAATCCTACTATAGTAAGACCCAACACACATTGAATTTTACTACTGCTCGATCGAGAGTCGGGCGGGTTGGGTTGGGCGGGCGGGTCATTAGATGCATGGTGATTGCTTGCTCGCTGGTTCGCTCGCTAGTTGGAGCAAGCACGCGAGCGAGCGAGCCCGGCGGGTCCGGTAGGGCGGGCGGGACATTACATGCATGGTGCTCGCTTGCTCGCTCGCTCGAGCAAGCGAGCGAGCAAGGAAAGGAGGTGGTCCTCTCGCTCGGTCGCTCGCTGAAGCAAGTGAAGGTCGGTTCCAGCGGGCGGGAAATTTAATACATGGTGCTCGCTTGTTCGCTCGGGCAACTGAGAGGGCGAGCGAGTGGGGGGGTCGGGTCGGGCGGGCGGGATACTAAATGCATGGTGCTCGCTTGCTCGCTCGCTCGAGCAGGAGGTCTGGGGTTCACAATGATCCTACAAGGCCTCGATCCAGCTCAAATGACATCTTTCTACAGCTTGATCCAGCCGTGATAGCAGATTACTGAGGATCCATCGTCGTCGTCGTCGTCGTCGTCGTCGTCGTCGTCGTCGTCGTCGTCGTTGTCATCGTCGTCGTCGTCTTCGTCGCCGTCGCCGTTGCCGTCGCCGTCGTCGTCGTCGTCGGCGTCGGCGTCGGTGTCGGCGTCGGCGTCGGCGTGGGCGTCGGCGTCGTCGTCGTCGTCGCCGTCGTCGTTGCCGTCGTCTTCGTCGTCATCGTCGTCGTCGTCGTCGTCGTCGTCGTCGTCGGAGTCACCGTCGGCGTCGTCGGCGTCGGAGTCGGCGACGTCTGCGTCGTCGCCGCTGGCGTCGTCGTCGACGTCGTCGTCGTCGTCGGCGACGTCGACGGCGTCGTCGTCTGCGTCGTCGTCGACGTCGTCGACGTCGTCGTCGTCGTCGTCGTCGTCTGCGTCTGCGTCGTCGTCGGCGTCGTCGACGTCGTCGCCGTCGTCGTCGTCTGCGTCGACGTCGTCGTTGTCTTCGTCGTCGTCGTCGTCGTCGTCGTCGTCGGCGTCGTCACCTTCGTCGTCGCTTCCCGACGGCGCGGGGGGGGAGGGGGCCCTCAGTTCGACCCCCCCTCCCCTTGCAAATCAGGCCCTCCCACCCAAGGTTCGACGCTCTCCTCCTTGGGAGAGGGGGCTCCTCCCTCTGTTCGAACCCTCACCCTCCTGCAATTGAGGGGGTTTCCCCCTTCTGGTTCGAACCCGCCTCCCTCCCTTGAGGGGGGGGGCCCGTCCTGGTTCGACCCCCCCCCACCCTCGCAATGCAGGCCCCACCCCCCCTGGTTCGAACACCTCCCTTTCCGAGCGTTCACAGAGCGCGCTCTTTCCGATCTATCGATCTCACAATCGTCCTCACTACCGGTCTCACTATAGATCTCACGATCGATCTGCCTATCGATCTCACTACTGATCTCAGTATCGAGCTCACTCAAGCGATCTCACTATCGACCTCCACGGGACACCACGGGACACCGCGGGGCACCGCGGGACGCTGCGCCACGGGACACCACGCGGCACCACGGGACACCGGCGGGACACCCCCAGGTCACCGCCGTCCAGGCGGGGGGGGCGGAGAGACATTGAGCCCAGCTTCGCCCTCGCCAGGGCGGGATCCTTCCTCTCGCCCGCCCACGCAGCTTCGCCTCGCCCGCAAGCGCGACGCGAAACGGAAACCGACTTCCAGGTGGGGGACCCTCCGTTTCGCTGCGATCTGGATGATGATGATGATGATGATGATGATGATGATGATGATGATGATGATGATGATGATGATGATGATGATGATGATGATGATGATGATGAAGAGGAGGAGGAGGAGGAGGATGAGGAGGAGGAGAAGGAGGAGGAGGAGGAGGAGGGGGAGGAGGAATGTGAGCAGGAGGGAGAGGCAGAAGGACCAGGAGGAGGAGGAGGAGGAGGAAGAAGAGGAGGAGGAGGAGGAGGAGGAGGAGGAGGAGGGTAAGGAGGGGCCAGAACGCGCCCACCACATAGCTTAGACTGCAAGACTTCTAAGCTTCTGCGTCGCCCTTTGCGGGGCCGACGCGCTGGTGGTGTGAGTATGTGTTTGGCTGTGCCGGATTCGGGGGGGCAGAGCGGCACCACTTGCCCCGCCTGCCAGACCCCGCCGCGCGCGAACCCCATCGCGGCGGACTCTTCCGCGCTTGTTCTTCATGGCTTATGCTCTTTTGAAATCTTCGGCCCCTGGAAGCCCTCGCGGGGCCCCGGGACCCTCGGATAACTCGGGGATCTTCTGTCCCGGGTCAGTCCAGACCTGGGTCAGTCAGGCCTTGCAGAATCCTGCAAGATCCTGCACCCACACCTGGGCCAACGCGAAGGATTCTGCAAGATCCTGCAGGATCCTGCGCCCAAGCCCAGGTCAATGCGACCCTAGCACTGCAGGATCCTGCGAGATCGGGCGCTCTGGCTGACCCCCGTTTGCATTGACCCCCCGTCTCGAAACTCCCGATCTGAACGCCCTCCCCGGGCCCCGGGACACTCGGAAAACCCTCTCGAACGGGGGGGAGGAGGAGGAGGAGGAGAAGAAGGAGGAGGAGGAGGAGGAGGAGGAGGAGGAGGAGGAGGAGGAGGAGGAGGAGGAGGAGGAGGAGGAGGAGGAGGAGGAGGAGAGAGGGAGGAGAGAGGGAGGAGGAGTCGACTGGGGGTCCACGCGTGCCCAAGAGCACGACCGGTCGGGGGTCTGGCTCCGCCTCCCTCGCCCCTCCTCTCCGGTGGAGGCACCGTGTGGTAGGTCTGCGTCACAACGGCTTGCGCGCTGGTTCTTGGCCTCCTCCTCCTTCTCCTCCTCCTCTCCTCCCTCCTCCTCCTCCTCTCCCTCCTCCCCTCTCTCCCTCCCCCCCTCTCTCCCCCCCTCCCCCCTGGTTCTTTGCACCTCGTCGCGGCCCTCCGAGAGCGCGGATCGTTCCACATCGGCCGATCCAAGGGCACTGGCGGCGTTCAGCATGGAGCGCCCGCGCCAAGGTCGCCGCCGCGTCGCCACGGCACGAGTTTGCCATGCCCGCCACCGTGCCCCCTGGCACGTTGAGGCGAGGAAGAATGCCCAGGTCTGTCTGGTAGGGGTTTCCGAGTTCTAGTGAAGGACCACCCCTCCCTCTATTGGCAGAATCTTGCGTGCATCCCCCGCCACTCACCGAGGCCACTCCCCTCGTGCCCGCTCGAGGATGGTGCACTTCCCACATGACAGCTAGATGCTTAATCCCTCATGCCACGCGTGCCCGCTCGAGGATGGTGCACTTCCCATCATGGCAGCTAATGTCTGAACCCCCATTCCACGCGTGCCCACTCGAGGATGGTGCACTTCCCGCAAGGGAGCTAACGTCTGAACCCTCATTTCATGCGCGCCTGCTCGAGGATTGTGCGCGTTCTGCACGGCTGCTGACTTCTAGGCCCATCATCCCACGCGCACCCGCTCGAGGATCGTGCCCTCCCTGCGTTCCCAGGCGCTGCTCCCAAGCGCTGCTCCCAAGCGCTCCAGGGTTTCCCGAGCAACGCACCCTTGTTAAAACTTGTGGATTTGCGTCCCGAGCTTCCAAGACGACCCGTGCAGGCAACCAAGGACACCTAGGTGGCCCAAGATGCCTCGAAGACTGCCCAAGATGGCCCCAAGGCGGCCGGATATGTATTCAAGACGGCCCAGGATGCCTCCAAGGCGGCCCAAAATGGCCACAAGAGGTCATCCAACAGGGTCCGAAGAAGCCACATCATTGATTTTCCTTTGGTTTTTGAATGATTTCCGCATTTTCGCCTTTTCGGTCTGCCGTCAGATCAAGACGGCCTAAGAGGACTCCACGATGGCCCAAGAGGAATCCAAGACGGGACGGCCCCAAGACGGCCTTAGAAAGTTCCTCGACGGCCGCCAAGACGGCCCGCACGATGGCCCCCAGACGCCCACCAGGGCCCCAAGACGGTCCAAGAGAGCCCCGAGCTGGTGTACGAGGGCCTCAAGACGGACCAAGATGGCTCCACGGTGTTCCCAAGACTGCTTCACAGGAGGCCAGACGGCCCCCACGACGGCCCCCAGACATCCACCATACGGCCACGAGGGCCCCAAGGCGGCGCAAGAGAGCCCCATGCCGGCGTAAAAAAGGGCCACAAGACGGCGCAAGATGGCCTCCCAGGAGCCCAAGAGAGCCCCAAGCCAGCGTAAAAGGGCCACAAGACAGCCCACGACGGCCCCAAGGAACCCCCAAGACTGTCTCACAGGAGGCCAGGACGGCCCCAGGACAACCCAAACGAAGCTTTGAATCATCACCACCACCACCATTTCCATCACCATCACCATCACCATCACCATCACCATCATCATCATCACCATCATCATCACTATCACCACCACCACAACCATCATCATAATCGGATAGTCAGCATCAGCGACGTCATCATCATCGCCGTCGTCATCATCACCATCACCACCACTACTCCCAACATCATCATCAGCATCATCACCGTCATTTTCATCAACATCATCGTCATCATCATCACCATCACTGTCACTATCATCATCATATCATCATCAGCATCAGCATAACCACCACCACATCACCACTATCATCACCATCACTATCACGATCCCGATCCCGATCATCATCACCATCACAAGCGTCATCATCATCATCATCATCATCATCATCATCATCATCATCATCATCATCATCATCAGCATCATCAACACCATAGTCGTCATGAGCATCATCACCACCACCATCACCATCATCGCCATCACCATAATCACCTCCACCATCATCATAAACAACATCCTCATCATCATCATCATCATCATCATCATTACCATGATCATCAGCATACTCATTACCTACACGATCACCCTTCTCGTGATAGGGAGGTTGTGTGGGGGTGGAGAGGGAGGGAACCATCATCTGACTCAATCGATCTCACTATCGATCTCACTCAACGGGACACCACGGGACACTTGTCGATCTCACTATCGATCTCACTCAACGGGACACCACAGGACACTTGTCGATCTCACTATCGATCTCACTCGACGGAACACCATGGGACACCACGGGCCACCACGGGACACCTCTCGATCTCACCATCGATCTCACTATCGATCTCACTCAACGGGACTCCATAGGACACCACGGGACACCTCGGGGCACCACATCGATCTCAGTATCGATCTCACTCAACGGGACACCACGGGACACCACGGGACACCGCGGGACACCGCGAGCCACCGCCGGACGGGAAGGGCGGGGGAGAATCATTTGTCTTGACTTCGCCCTAGCAACGGCGGACGCCACGGGACACCACGGGACACCAAGGGACACCACGGGACACCGCGGGCCACCGCCAGACGGGCGGGAGGGGGATAATCATTTGTCTTGACTGCACCCTAGCAACGGCGGGTTCATTCCTCTCGCGCGCCCACGCAGCTTCGCCTCGCCCGCACGCACGGCACGAACGAAACGAAACGATTTCCCGGTTGGGGGTCTCCGTTCCACTGCGATCTCACCCCCCAACCTCAGATCATCGCCACCACCAGCACCATTATCATTAGCATCCTCGTCACCACCAGCACCATCATCACCATCACCATCACCATCACCATCACCATCACTATCACCATCACTCTCATCACTCTCATCACTCTCATCACTCTCATCACTCTCATCACTCTCATCACTCTCATCATCATCATCATCATCATCATCATCATCATCATCATCATCATCATTATCATCACCATCACCATCACCATCACCATCACCATCACCATCACCATCACCATCACCAACACCACCGTCACCATCACCATCACCATCCTCCTCCTCATCATCACCGTCATCATCATCATCATCATCATCATCATCATCATCATCATCATCATCATCATCATCATCATCATCATCATCATCATCATCATCATCATCATCATCATTATCGTCATTGTCATTGTCTTCGGCATCACCACCACCATTACAACCATCATCATCATCATCATCAGCATCATCATCTTCATCTTCATCATCATCATCATCACATTCACCAGCACCATCATCATAATCATCATCTTTACCACCATCACCATCCCCATCACCATCACAACCATTACCATCATCACCATCATCATCATCACCATCATCACCATCACCATCTTCATCGCCATCACCACCATCATCACCATCACCATCACCATCATCATCGTCGTCATCACCCCCATCATCTTCATAATCCCTTATCATCCTCATCACGGCTCTCCCAATCCTGGAGGCACGAGGTGTCACATATGACGGCCTCCCAGGCCCCCTCGAGCAGTCGCTAGCCAGAACGCTGGGCTGGCACGGTGGCGGGACTTCCCGCAGGCAGCTGGACAAAAGCAACTACCATGCCTGGCCAGTGCCTTCCTTGGCCCTGGCATGGTGCATCCGTCACCGTGCCACTGTGTCCTCGTGTCACGCTGATACGTGGCAGAATGCCTCGTGCTGCCTGGCAGGGTTTCTAGAAGTCTTCTAAGGGCCCCCTCCCCTTCTAGTCACGCCCAACTGCATGCATTCCCCCCGCCCCCTCTCCCCCTCTTCCGAGGCCCCTGGGGCGACCCGACGCGTCACAGGCGCTCTCCAAGGCCCTCGAAGGTTCCAAAACAGAACGGCCGAGGAAGGGCACCAATGCCGCCAAGATGGCCGAAGATTGCTCCGAGGCATCCAGCACCTCCCATGAAGTCCCCAAGCGGCGCCAAAGGGGCCCCAAGAGGTCCCCATCAAAGCGAAGGCCACCAGGAAAGCCCAAGTCATCTCCAAACATCAGAAATCCATACTTAGCTTGTTCAATCTTTTGCGCATCCTGGGCCTCCTGGCTCAAGCTGGTTCCAAGAGGGCCTCGGAGGAGCCAAAGAGTGGCCGAAAGCGCCCCATGCCCTGGCAGATGGGCGGGTGCCCCTCTTCGGCTGGGCCCTGCTGAAACGGGGACGGCCCCTGGCCCGAGCCCTTCTGGCCTTCCCTCCCGGGCCTCGGCCCCGCTGTCGGCGTCCATCACGCGGATGCTGTGGCGCTTCGAGTGCAGGACCCCGAAGTAGCGGTCGTTGAAGGCGCGGGTGGCCTCCGCCGGCGAGTGCTCGGTACCCTGGTCCTCCACGATGCTCGTCGGGACCAGCTCGCGGCCGCCGGCGTGCTGGGTCAGCTGCGCGAGGCGGCCGTGCGTGGTGGCCACGGACACGCAGCCGCCGTGCTGCAGCCCCTCGGCGGCGGTGCGGTTCGCGCCCGCGGCGCAGCCCTGGTCCACCAGGAGCCAGTGGGCCTCTCGCCATCGCTCGGACGTCCATTTCCTGTGCATTTTTCGGTTTCGTGCGTGTCTTTTTTGCTCGATGGCCCAGGATGGTCCTGGATGGTCCTCGCCGAGAAAAAAAACACACGTCCGAGCGATGCCAGGGCCTGCTCCCTGCGCCGGCTGCGCGCGCCCTGCACGGGCCTCTGGAGCCAGCCCTCCGCCACGTGCCCCACGTAGCCCCCCGAGCCCCCCGCCGCCGCGGCCGCGAGCGGGCACGCGGCGAGGCGTGCGCCGTCGTGGTGCAGCGCCAGCGCCTCGCAGGCGCCGCCGCCGCCGCAGTGGAGGGCCACGTCCTGCAGCGCCTCGCCCTGCAGGGCGGGGCAGCCCGGCGCCTGCCGGAACGTGGCCGAGAGCCGCGTCTGCTCGTCGCCCTGCCGCGGCGAGGGGCTGCCCGCCGCCCTGCCCTTGGCTGGAGCTGGGGCCGGAAGGGTGGCCTCGAAGATGGACAGGCCGTCCGTGGCGAGCAGGCGCCGGCCCTCCGCATCGCAGGCAAGCGTCTGCGGCTGGATGTTGGCGTAGGGCCAATGCGCCCAGATGCGCTCCGCCTCGGGCCCGACCTCTCCCAAGGTCACGCCCGCCGCGAGCAGGGAGAACATCCCAGGCCTCGGCACCACCTCTGCGCCGCTGCCCCAGTGGCGGCTCCTTGCCGCCTTGGAGGACACATCCTGCGAGACATCGTTCCAGGGTAGCGCCATGGACCAAACGCCAGTGACGTGAAGGATGTAGTACACCCCCGCGAGGATCCATGTCAAGCTGATCACGAACGAGGCGTTCCTGAAAACACGCCACGGGAGCACGCCTGGCATCTCGTTGTCGTGGCCCGTCGCAATCGGCACGCCCTCGTCCTCCTCCTCCCCGCGACTGGCGTGGAACCCCCAAAAGGATGCGCGCTCCTGACCCTTGAGCGGCTGGTCCGGGGCGTCCGAGATCAGCGAGTCCATCTTCTCGCGCCGGCGGTTCCCCTGCGGCATGAAGGTCACTGGGTCCCAGAACCCCTTCGCCGGCGGCTCGACGGCATTCACGTGGTCCCACGCGCGCGGCGCGCCCTCCACGAGCCTCATGTCGTCGGAGGCCGACGGCGGCGCCACGCACATGGGCCTCGCTGGCAGCGGCCGACCCGCCTCGTCGTAGCTCACGCCGCACGCGGCCGGCCGCGCCGCGCCGGGACCCTCGGCCTCCTCTGGCTGCTGCCAGGCCTCGTCGTCCGACGCGCCGTCCTCGCTATGGGGGAACGACGCCACCGCGGAGGGACCGAGGTAGGATAGCGCCGCTGTCGACCTAACTCTCTAGTTCGGGGGCGGCCAAGAGGGGGAGGGCGCAAATCATGGCCGGCGGCATCTTCGCAGTCCAAGGGGGGGCCAGGGATGTACAACGTGGCGCCATGAAGTCTGAGGAAACATAATGGCCCACGCCATGATATCCACCCCTCCCCTAGTCATCACCCCCCTCTTGGCCGCCCCCGCCCTGGTGCTCAGACATGGTCCCCCACTGTGCGCGGGACACCGGGCGGCCGAATCCGGGAGCCCCGAGCTCCAGCAGCGCCGACCTCGGACTTTCTCCGCCGACCTGTGGCCCGCCTTCGGGCGAAGCCGAGCTGCGCCGATGGCGGGGCCCTCCCTTGAGGGGTGGCGGAAGAGAGGACTGCCTCGGGAGGGGGAGCGCTGCCTCGGAATCGGCGACACGTCGCCGATGGATCGGCGACGGGCCCTCGATGGCGAAGCCGCGCGTCTCTGGGCCAGGTGGGGCACCCATGCCCCGATCGGCGAAGGATGGGCGATTAGGTGGCGATGCTTTCCCCCGCAGTGGGCCAGCCCGCCCCCCCCCCCTCCCCCCTTTGTCGGCGCCCCTGACCTCGTCGCCCTCGGGCACGCTCGCGCACGCGGATGGCTCCGCGTACTCCTTCGCGAAGTGGCCGAGGGGTGCGCCAAGCCCGGCCGCCAGCGCCTTGGGCCTGGCGGGGGCGCCCGCCACCATGACTCGCCGGCTGCTGGCGGCGCGGCTCGGCAGCTCGGCGGTGGCGGACGTGGCGTCGTCCGCGGGCCCCGCGTCGACCAACTTCCGCGTCGACGGCCCGCGCAGAGGCAGCTTCTCGGGGTCGCGCGCCTCGCGCGCGCGCTTGTGCGAGACCCAGCCGAAGACGTCGAGGTAGAGGACGCCCTGGATGGGGGGAGGGAGACGGAGGATGAAGGACGGAGGATGGAGGAGTTGGATGGGGGTGGATGGAGGGGGAAGAGGGAGGGGAGGACTGGGATGGAGGAGGGAAGGGAAATGGAGGAGGAGTAGGAGGAGGCAGGATAAGGCACGACTGTGGGTCCGCTTCTCTCGTCTTGTTTGACGAATGGAGGAGGAGCAGGATGAGGAGGAGGAGGAGGAGGAGGAGGAGGAGGAGGAGGAACAGAAGGAGAAGGAGGAGGATGAGGAGGAGGGGGAGGAGAAGGAGTGGGGGGAGGAGGAGGAGGAGGAGGAGGAGGAGGAGGAGGAGGAGGAGGAGGAGGAGGAGGAGGAGGAGGAGGAGGAGGAGGAGGAAGAAGAAGAGGAGGGCGGGGGGGTGGAGGAGGATTGATGGGGGAAAGAAGGATGATGAGCAGGACGACCTGGAATGCCAGAGGCAACATTGCACCATTCTCTTGTTCCCGCACGGAGAGCACCAATGTCATTAACGCGATTACGATGCCGTGGCTGATGAAGGCGACGGGCGCGAGAATCTCTGCGATCTTGGTGGTCATGTCTTGCTGCTGGACGTAGTGATAGGATGCCAAGGTTGCCACAGTGGGCCCGAAGACAAGAAGCGCCTGGATAAGCCGCTGCTCCCCTACAGGCAGGGTCAAGTCGATGCGAGCGACCATCTCGGCGGCGCCCGTGAGGATGATGACACCAACGATTGCAGCCACGGGGGCCTGGACTTGCAGCATTGCGTAACCTAGAATGTAATAGCTCATGGCCAGCATTAGCTGGTTGACTCCGACGCTCATGGACACGCGTGCGAAGGCGTCGTACGTCTGGTAATAGACCGCCGCCTGCCTCACCAGCTTGATGTGGCGCAGCGTGGCAACCTCCTCTCCGTGGTGGCATCCCAGCTCCTCAGGGCAGCCTCAACCCAAAGGGACAGCAATAGTCGCCTCCTCCAGGGGAGGGGGACGAAGAGCAAGGCGGACTCTCTCAATCCCTGCAGGCGACGCCGTGAACCAGAAAAGACGGCGCAGAGAAGCAAACACGACCCGAGCGGTCGACCCCCATCGTTCTGCGGGGATCCTCCGAGCTGGATCCGTCCGCGAGGGTCCTGGGCCCCGACCCGGAGACGTGGCATCAGGCGCCCGTCGTGGCCACTCCCGCGCGCCCCGACCGAGACCCCCGGCGTCGTGATCTTTGTTTTGCAGCGCGGCGCCCCGGAGATCTCGGGTGCGCCGAAGAGGGGGGCCCCGAAGGTGGGGGCCACTCATCATGGGCCGAGCCAGGGGACGCACTCAAAGAACATGACAGATGAAACATGTAACGATAGAAAAAGGATGCCTAACATCAGCAAGGCGAGCAATACTTAATAATAGAAAGAGGATGACTAATACTAGCAATGTTCGCAATGCTAAGGTGAATGACACGAATGCTACGAGAAGTACGAATCATCACGCGAGTACTGATCGTCGTACTAAGAAGTACAAGTAACAACCGTATGCGCAGCAAACAGACCCATGAGAATACTAGGAAGCGGGGGCGATTAATTTTGGGAGATTTCAATGCGCGCCCCCGATTTTCAACCCCAATCGCTTTCTGAGGGCCCCGGGGCCGGGAAACAAGCCCCATCGGCCGACAGCGCCAAACCCGCCGTGACTTGCTGTCTTCGCGACGCCCAGATCTCGAACAGAAAGAGGGGTCGAGCGAAGCGTGTTCGCGCACAAGACGCGCGCAAGACGAGCTGTGCGGAGCAGCGCCTCACCGAGAGAGGTGCGAGCACGAGTCCGCGATTGTGGCCAACGCTCGAGCGACTGCACCGTCCCCAGTCAAGGGGAGAGGGGGATCGAGGGGGGGCTAAAGCAGGAGCTCGACCACAAGAAACCTTCCACAAGAAGCCCAACCCCGAGATCCCAGGACGTCCATCCATCCTTGGTGTGGGAACGTCACGCTTCCCCATCGCAAAACCATCGAAGCTCGAGAAACCCAGGGCACCCTGGAGGCAAGCAGAGTGTTTCTGGGCATGGGTCTCCACTCCTAAGCCCCCTCGGTGGCCCTCCTCGGGAGGGGCTCCGGCCAAGGGTCTCCCAGCAAGCCGGCCCGCAACGGGCTTCGGCATGAGGCCCTGACCGCCGAGGCGAGGAGGGGGAGCCTCAGCGCCGATTCCGAAGAAGAGCAACTCAGCATAAGCTGAAGTCGGGCCCTGTCCCTCTGCAGGAGGAGCATTTAAGAATAGTCGAAAAATAGTCAGGGGGCGACTGTTTCATGATCTGTTGCTATATTTGAATACTTTTTTGACTCTGTTTTATTTTTCGCCCAAAAACCGCCTGAACCGGAATCGGCGACCAAATGCACTGCCTGCAGTACCGGGCGTGCAGCCATGGCTGCACGGGCAGCGCGCTGCCGTCGGTGCCAGAGGAAAAAAGTGAGCGATCGTGGGGACGAGGTCAAGAGACGATCAGGAGAAAGCGAATCGACGCCAGGTGCCCAAGACCCAGGATAAGACCGTACGAGACCATCCGCGCAAGACCTCTGGGACCCCCCCCTCTGTTAAACGTGTGAAAGAGAACCCAGCCGTGGCGACGAGAAGCCTCCCAGAGGCCCGTAACGCGCGAACGGCACCCACAAACTCGAACATCGAATCTCCCCTGAGATCCGACGAAGCGACAAAAATACATCAACGTGAACAGCCACAACCGGAGCCCTCGACCACATCTCTCTGCGTTGCTTCTCGAGCCGGATCCATCCACGAGGGCCTGAGGGCCCCAAACCGGGGGAGAACGCACGGTGTGAACAAAACTGAGACGCCTGGATCTCAGATGATCTCATGGGGGCTCAGGCACTCGATACATTTTTTTTTTTGTCCAATACGGGATCCCCAGGAGTCCCGATCCTTTCACCAGGGCCATCTTTTCATTCAGAATAATTTGTCACGGCCCCAGGGCCTGGCAAGGGCCCCCGGAGGCCGAAGGGACGACCACAAACTTCCGCCCTTATTTTGGCATTACGTTGGATCTCACGAGACGTCGAGGAGAGGAGGGCGCCCCCTTTTCCCAGGGCAGGCCTCTCATCCCGAGTCGTCTTCTCCACGCTCTGGAAGCCCGACGTGGGCCCCTGGAGGCTCGATCCTTCTCCGAGGCCCCGACTGGTCTGGGACCCCAGGGCCGACCTGAGGACGCCCCCGAGGCCCTCCCTCCTCCGACGGCGCAACCTCTCGGCGGTGCGGGCCCCCGAAGGGATCCCTCCGAGCGCCCCCGAGGTCCCGAGCGTCGAACGTCGATCCTCGATCCTCCGGCCTACCTCGAGGATAGGCCTGTCCTCGCTTGTCGAGCGAGGCCTACCCTCGATCCTCGATTGTCGAGCGAGGCCTATCCTCGATCCTCGATTGTCGAGCCCCGAGCCCCCCCCCGGGATAGAGAGCCAACCCCCTTCCCTGAGGCCGGCTCTCTACCCCGAGCCGTGTTTCGACGCTCCCTCGGGCCGGCGTGGCTCGCGTCGGCGCCGCTCCAAGGGAGGCGAGCGGCGCTCGAGGGCTTGCCTCTGGACGCCGAGCGTCGACGAGCTCGCCGACGCCCACGGCGGCAGGCGAGACGGGAGGTGTCGATGGCACCTTTGACGCACTCTGCGCCTGAACACAATCCCTGTTTTGCATCGGGTCTCAAGCGACAGGGAGAAGGGGGTACGCGCTTTGCCCCCCAGGAGCTCTTCGGACCAAGTTGCCTACGGTGCGGCATCGAACGAGCATCGTCGACGATGCGAGTGGAGGCGGAGCGAAGAGATGAAGTTTTTTTCTTGGTTGAAGCGCACCCCCCGTGCACTGCACCTCGCCGTGCGCGGAGCGAGCCCCTGGAGGCCGAAAGCCTAACAAACTAGCCGCCACCGATGATGATGATGATGATGATGATGATGATGATGATGATGATGGTGGTGGTGGTGGTGGTGGTGATGATGCTCGTGGTGATGATGATGCTGCTGCTGATGATGGTGGTGATGGTGAGGATGATCATGATGAGAATGATGATGACGCTGATGGTGATGATACTGATGATGATGGTTATGGTGATGGTGATGCTGATGGTGATGACGATGATGCTCATGATGATGGTGATGGTGATGATGATGATGGTGATGATGATACTGATGATAATGATGTTGATGCTGATGAAGACAATGAT